AGGGTTCAGGGTATCTCCTAGTCGAGCAGTCTCGACTAGAGTCTTCTTACTTGTTTTTTTTTGTTGTTTGTGCGAAAAGTTTTGCTAATTTGCGGTAATGTTAATGCTGAACTTTGCACAAAATTAGTCAAGTTCTGGCGCGTCGGATTAAGCGCAATGTTACGCCAAAGTGTTAAGTTGGAAATAAATGTTGACACTTGCGGTAAAATGCGAGTTCTTGGCCCGCAACATAAACAAAAGCGCCGAACGTTTTAAAGACAGCCCCAGCCACAGCCAGGGCCATAGCCAGGGCCACAGACTCAGCTCCGACGTCAGCCAGAGTCTCAGCCAGTAGCCAGAAGGCGGCACACATCCAAGCGTCGAACTCCATGAAATTAACTTTGCACCCCGAAAGTATGCAAGCGTCGGCTGTCACAGGTGCGCGCCATAAAGCGCCCGCTACCCGCTGCCCGCTGCCCACAACCCCTGCCGTGCTGGACTGCAGTTAATTATGAGTAAGTTGGCCATAACCGCAACACTTGCCTGCAATTCCTTAGGCCGAGGGCTCGCCATGCGTAGCAGCAGCAGCAGCAGCTGAGGCACGCCAAGACCTTGCCAAAGTATTTCGTGTGGCAAAATTAATTTATAAGTTTGCGCCGCGACAGTTGCGGCAAGCCAGTAGCGAGAGAGAGATAGAGAGAGGGAGAGGCAAGAGCTGGCATCCATTGGGCATTGGCAACCTGGGACAAGTTTGGGCGCCTTACGTGCCAAAGTTACGGCACTTGCCAAGAGTTTCCGGCTGGCCGTTTCAAATTTATAAAGTGTCATATGTTATGAAATTTGGCACCATCGCCACTTTGCATAAAGTTACGGCCAAGTCAAATTATGTGCGTAGAAAAATTGCCTCAGCTGAAGCTAGACAGCACTAGAGCAGGGAGAGGGGGAGTGGGAGAGCTGTCACTGCTGACAACGATACAATTATTGGTTTGTATGCGCACAATTTACACACCCACACCAACACACACACATACATAGTATTAGGGTGGGGGCAGCAGCGGCTTGTAATAAATCAAACCAAGTGAATAAATCATAAATGTGAGCGCACACAAACACACATATAGAGAGAGCTGTGTGTGTGTGTGTGTGTGTGCATTTGATAGTCGCAGCTTGTCACATGCGAAAGTGAACGGCGTTCGCCACGAACGGAACGCTACGGAACGGAATGGAGGAACGGAACGAACGAATGACATGAAATAATGACATGAAAATTGACAATTTTATTCCTACTTAACTTGCTGAATGAACGAATGAATATATCAAGCCTCTCTTTCCCACGCCCAACAGTGGCTACCATGTCTCTCTCTCTCTCTCTCGCACTCTCTGTCGTTGTAGAAGATATTTTATACACAGTTTGACGTGCGAGCGAATTGTAGCCAGAATGAATGACAGTCAGTGACTAACTGAGTGATACAGTAACAGCTGTCAAAGTGTGAATGACACTCACACACACACAGACACTTACACACACACACACACACACACACTCACACTCACTCATACTTCACTTGGTTTGTTTTTCTTGTAAATTGCTTTTGATTTGCATACGCGGAAGTGTATTTAATAATACACTCAAATAGATATCCATGCTCGAACTGGACGGGAAATGTTCGCGATTTCAATCAGAGCCGCGGGGCCCTTGGCGTTTATTGTCCCGTTCGCATTGAATGTGGAAAACAAGATAAGTAAGATAAGCATAATTTATGCGCTGTATAAATCAATTTCTTCCAGGGAATTGTGAGATGTATACATAATGCATGGCCACAGCTGATGCTCTTTAGCTGTCAATTGGTCGGACATCTCGTGACGCACACGCACACGCACACACACACGCAGCATGCTAATAAAGGCGACTGAATGGCTCAATTAAATAATCGCCCGCAATCAGTGGGTGAAGCGTCACAGTTGGGGTCGCATAGCCGACTCGGAGCTGGGCGCAGCGTTCGCTCGGTCAGTAGCAAAATGAGACGGGAACGCGAAACATCGTTTGGCTATCGCTGTGTCCTGCTGGCAGTGATCGTGCTCTTGGCTGGGGCGAGTGCTGCGCCGCAGCAGCAGAGCCCAGTGACAGAGGCGGCCAATCAGTCATCAGATGCCGAGAGCAAGTCCAGCTCCAGTGAGGAGGACAGCCGCTCGAGCAGCAAGGAAGAGAATGCCTCGGACGACTTGATTGTGCTCAGCTCGGATCGTGGCCCGACCAAGGAGCCATCCAAGTACGACGATCTGCTGCGCGAGCTGGAGGAGAAGGAACAGGAGGAGCCATTCAATCCGGCGCCGCCCCTAAACATTAGCGAATTCGTGGCCCTGATACCCGCCCGGCAGGTGGTGGCCATCGTCCACAACTACTATCGGCACGACGAGGAGGTGCAGCGCGCGTATGACTTCATCAAAACCGAGATCTTTGAGCTGCTGCAACTGGTCGATGTGCTGGCCTTGACGAACTATCTGCATGGCCTCGGGTTGGACGTGATGGATCTGGCCCAGACTGTGGTGCAGACCCTCAAATCGGCCACGGCGGACAACACGCCGGGCAGCGGTGCGTATGAGCAATGGTCCAGCTCTCCCTCTCTCTCTCGCTCTCGCTCCCTTTCTGGCAAATGCAAACATGGCCAGAGCCTTGTCATGGCACAAACAAGCTTCCAAATAACTTTCAAGTCATCTCCCTCTCTCTCTCTCTCTCTCTCCTTTGTGGCCATGCTGGCATTATGCTCAATGTCATGGTGCAACAGAGCCGTCCGCTGTCCGCTGTCCGCTGTCCGCTGTCTGCTGTCCTCTGTCTGCCTCTAGCTTATCAATGTTCACACATGCTCGCCTCTTGGAGCCCGCAGAGCACCTGGCATGAATTATTCGCAAATGGCTGCAAACTATGCAGACAAAGTCAAACGGAAGAGCGAGTAGGCAACCCAAGTGGGGCAGGTGCAAGGGGGAGGCGGGCGAGCTCTGCCTGCACTGGCCAAGTGCATTTAATTAAATATTTTGCCTGTTATTGAATTTGAATTTGAATCTGAGTCTGAATTCGCTTGCAGAACTGGATGTGGCCATTGTCAATGAGGAGCAGAAGGGCGTGCATGGCCTGGTTGACAGCATACTGGGCCTGTTGTCGGCGAAACAGTTCAGTGAGCTCTATGCCCGCAAAGTCAAGACGGATGAACATTTCGCCAGGTTCAACAACAATTTCTTCTCCACGGAGCTGAAGATTATCTTGAAAAATCTCTATGTAAGTTCCCTGCGTATCGCCTTCAACTCACCTGAGGCACGTACCTGAGTTCTGAGTTCTCAAAAGGTTCGATCAAGGCCTATTTCTTTTTTTTTTTTTAAACAATTATTGAAGTGTGTGCGTGTGCGGGAGTTGGAAAAGCACTTGGAAATAGGCAGACCGCGGATGCCTAATAATTTTTGTAGCAGACGTGAGCTAAATATTAGAGTAGCATTTTCTCGGAATGCGAATGCGAATGCGAATGCGAGTGCCACATCCTCAGCCACAGGCATAGGCACTGGCAATGCTTTATTACGCTCTCGGAGTGCTGCGAGTGGCACAATTTCTTTCCGGTCGTGGCTGAGCCATATGTATGTACTCCGTATACAAATCAACTTCCGTCGGTTTGCCGTCGAACTGCTTCGCCATGTCCTAATTTTAAAGCAGACTTTCCATGCGCCCAGGCATTCGTCTACCCTCTGCCCTCCCCCACTTCTAATTGGCAATTGAGCTGGCCTACGTGCGGCACATATTTATGAAATGGCTGGATGGCAAAAAGCAGAACGCGTTTGTTTTCCCAAATGCTCCAGCGCCGGGCATATCGAAGCCAATTTATGTTTATGTGTGAAAATATGCCAATTGATTTGGCGTAAATAGAATGCCTATAATTGAAAAGAAAAAACCAAACCTGAGCGTGGCTGGCTTAGGTGCCAAAGCACTCTCAAGCCGCAATAAATATCCCCGATTCGTTCCACTGATTGACGAAGAGCCACCGCCCCCTGGTAGCCTGTCTAATATCAAAAGCAATTAACAACAGATCAACTCGAGGCTGACTAATTTTATTGTTGTTCAGCTCTTAGGCTAATGTGCAATGGAATTTAATACGGGCTATAATAACAGCGTGTGAATGAATATAATTTGAAGATAGATGATTTTAGTCAGTCAGAGCATGTCGAAAGTAGATAAAAGTCAATAAATGAAGAGGAAGCGGGAGATAAAAGATAAAAGATAGAAGATATGAGATATGAAAAGGATATATAAGAGATATATGAGATAGGAGCTAAGATATATAGGAGATAGGAGATATAGGATATAGGATATAGGAGATAGGAGATAGGAGATAGGACATAGGATATAGGATATAGGATATAGGATATAGGATATAGGATATAGGAGATAGAAGAAGGAGATAGAAGAAGGAGATAGGAGATAGGAGATAGGAGATAGGAGATAGGAGATAGGAGATAGGAGATAAAAGGTAAAAGATAGAAGATACAAGATACAAGATACAAGATAGGAACTCATATATTTAAGATAAATATAATAGTTGATATATTTATTTAGATTCCCTTTTAATCTTGATGCATATCTTTTCTTTAAGCAGCTATAAATATTCAATTAAATATTTTTTATATTTCTATAAATACTTATATTCAATAAATTCCAATATTTTTTGCAGTACTCAGAGCCGGTGCGTGAATTGTTCTACAAGGACAAAGATGACATATATCTGCCCCAGATATACGAGTTCATTCGCCACATACGCATCTGTCCAACAGACACGCCCATCAGAGGCGAGTACAGAATGAAGACGTGCCTGCAGCCTGAAGTGCCCGTAACACCAAAGTCCTAATAGGTGTAAAATGGGTAAAATATTAAACAGATTTCATGGGAGAAGACGATTTCTGTTATCTTAAAAAAAAATTGCTCATAAATATATGCATTTATGATATGACAGACACTCTGATTGATATAGGAAGCCCCTCTTTAATGTGCTAGACTACACAGAATTAATAAAGAACATTCCAAAAAGTTGGCAGAGTCAACAGAAAGGCAAAGTCACTTGCCAAATGAGAAAATGTTGCTCTCGTTTATGTGGTGCGGCGCTTAAAGGTTTGTGCCACAGCGCAGAAAAATTTCGAGCATATGCCAGGCAATTATTTAGTGGGCCCGGCCCCTGGGAATTGCCAATGTGAGATTGGGAGAGTGCACAAGAAAACGGCGCATATTAATAAAGCTTTCGGGCAGCAAAAAGAGGGTTAAATGACGCAAAGGTGGTGGCTTTTGGTGCGTCAAAAAGTTTATCTACGAAAAAACGAAAAGAAAACGAAGAAAAGTTGCAAACTGGAGCTGGCTCTCTGATTTATGCCGCCTCGCTCGAGTCGAGCCGAGGTCTATGGCTCCAGCCTGGGCCAGTGGCAGCGCAACAGTTGCAACTCTCTTAATGTCGGCGTTTATTTGAATAAACTCAAACTTCTGATTTCACAGGGCAGCTGGCAGAGCGGCAGCAGCGCAAAAAGTTACAAAACTTTCTCGGTTAACTGATTTCTACACCGACACCTGCCTGCAGCCAGCACCGAAAAAGTAACAAAAAAATCAAAATCAAAAAAATGTGCGCCAGTGCGCGGAGCCCCAGGAGACTCATAATTTAAGGAGAGTATATCAATAAATTACGCATCCTGCTGCCAGCACATTTTAAAGTAGATAAAGCGACGGCCGCTGAAATGCAGAGCAGACACACACACATTCGCTTACCCATATGTGTGTGTGTGAGTATTTGTCAAATGAAATTGTTACTGATCAAGGAGCAACTACAGCCTCCTCTCCATTACTGACCAGCCAGCAGTCACCCCCTGCTCAGGCGGGTGGTGGCTTTCATGCTCGACCATAACTCAATGCGGTCCAATTGATTGGCCGGGCCAAAGCCGTAAAGGCGTCGCTGTAAACATGCAAGCTGACATAAGCTACGCGTCGTGCATCAGCTCCATTAATCAATTACAGACACACCCCAATAGCATCAGCAGCAGGAGCAGCGCGAGCAGGAGCAGGGCAGCAGCAGGAGCTCCCTCGACGCTGGGCACGACAATCACAACCTGTCACAGAAGTGTCTAAATTCAATCTGCAGTTGGCCGAGGTGAAGCGCAAAAAGAACGAGGGCAACGGCAAACAGCTCCAAAGCCGTCAATCTCAGCTGGCGCCGGCCCAGTAGGCTGTGGGGCGTGCCATACCTTTTCATTTGCAATTGTCAGTAGAGTAGATTTTGGAAATTCTCGGAGTGAAATAAATTTACGCTTTAGTCAAAAGCAAGTGCATCGTAGCTAATATCATTTACAAACCACACCGAATCGACTCCATTGCACATTCAACAAGCTCCACGGACACCATGAAGCTGATTCACTTGCTGGACAACTCGAACATTGCCGGCGCCATTGGCACGGCCAGCAACAGGGCCAGCCACGCTGAGGCCTGCGCCGAGTCGACCATCAGCATGCAGCAGCTCTATCAACTGCAGGAGCGTCTGCAATCCGATCTGCTGGCCAGCGATGTGCGCTTCTCGCTCTTTGTGGCGGCGGCCAACAGCTACCGTTACGAGACGTTGCTGCGGCCCTGTCCCAGGCAGTTCCTCGACAGCGAGCAGCGGCCGAACATCGGCGCCATCTTCCAGGTCATTGCCGAGATCGATCGCCTGGAGGTCATACTGGAGCAGCTGGACAGGGGCAACCACGACTGCTACCCCGTGAACGTGCTGAGTCTGCTGCACGCGGTGCTGGTGCGGCATGGCGAACGCGTCAACCTGAGCAGCCTGCTGCCAAGTGAGTTCGCACTCCTGTACGCGTACCTGCAGATTGGGGCGCCACAAGTGGAGCCCACGCAGATCTTGGAGGTTAAGCCGAGTCGAAGGTGTGCGCACACCAAGGCCTACGCCGCACTGCGCAAGAAGTATCCCGTGAGCTTCGGGTTCTACGGCGGCAGAGTGGAGCAGCTGTACGCACTGCTGACCGTGGGCTGCCTGCCCGCACACACCACCCTGGAGCTGAGCGGCGACGTGGACGAGGCGCTGCAGCACAGCCCCGAGACGCCCGGCTGGGGTGGCTCGCGCTGCGGCGCGCTGCTCAGGTGCGTCGCTGTCGTGGAGTTTGTGCTGCAGCCGGAGCTGGTCAGCGTGTCACGCAATGGATCGGGACACGTGCGGATTGCCGATGCCAGCTGCATAAAGATCTCCTATCTGATGTTATTTGGCCAAAGCTGCGAGAGCGACGAGGGCGACGAGAGCGATGAGGGCGGAGAGAGCGATGAGGGCGGAGAGAACGACGAGATCGACAAGGGCGGAGAGATCGCCGAGATCGCCGAGATCGACGAGGGCGACGAGGGGAGGCAGTGCAGCAGCCTGGTGCGTCAGCCGAAGTACACGATCAACCTGAGCATGGCGCTCAGGTGGATGGAGAGCAACAAATATGTGCTCTCGCTTGGCATGTACCTCATGCTGATGTCCATGACGACGCCCAGTGGGCGTGGCATTTTGCACAGATTCGCCTGCACTGCCATGTGCATGCTGAGGAGGGGACTTTTGAAAAACTAATCGTCGCCCTCCGATCACTCAGCTAATTGGCTAACTTGGCTAATATAAACACGTTATTGGGGCCAGCGTGCTGGCGGCAATAAAGTGCTTATATGCGTCAATAAAGTCAAGAAAGTTCAACTAAATTCAATCATTCGTTCAGCCACAAAGGCAGCCAACTAAAACAGAAGGAGACAGCAACAAACACTGAGCGAGAAAGCGAGACGACGAGACGAGGAGAGGGCGAGAGGCGAGAGGAAGAGCGAGGACTGGCCGGAGCTGGCGTGTGTAAGCAAATGTTGGCATGAGTCACACGCAACTGGCCATAAATAACAACAATTTAGCATTACAAGTGACGCAGTAAAAATTTATACGCTCTCGCACATTTTCAATTTTCTGCAATTTTTCTAACAATTGTGTGAAATTCCTTGCGGCCATTGGGCAAGCAGCAGCAGCAGCAGCAGCAGGAGCAGCTGGGCCACTCGCTGCATATAAAAAGGACATGAACAGATTTTCCATGTGTGTGTGTGTGTGTGTGTGGGCACACATAAACTGAGTGCAGCCAGAGTCCCTATACGGCAGCACATACTCTGGAAACTTGGCATTATGTGCTGCCGGACACATTTCGGGGCACACAATTTAGCAGCTTGGCTGGCAACATTTCTTTCCATACCCAGTGAAGCCATTGCAGAGGGGCAGCCCGGACATATTGAGCTGCTTGCAACAGGCCCAAGGAATACATTCTTGATGTGACATGTGAGAGTAACGACCTGAGTCAAAACCCAGCTATATGTATATCTGTCCGTTCGCATGTGAACAGCGAACACGTATCAAACAAATTTTAGAGAAATTTTAAATAAATACTCGGCTTAAATTTGGTATATTTAATACTTATTTATTTATTTTTACTTATGCTATTTTTTTTTATTATTTTCTATATAAGTTATATATATATTTATATTATCTAAAATTATATTTCCGATAAATCATTCCATTGCCTTATCAAAAACAATAAATAATTATTATTAAATTAATAAGACATTAAATAAAAATTAAAATTAAATAATTCTTAATTATAAATTATTCTATGATTAAACGTGGCAAGTTTTTAATTCAATATGCAGATGAATACAAAAATCTATATATAAATAAATTTGAATTCTATATTCTATATTTTGATTTTTATTTTTATTTCTATTTTATTTATTTATTTATTTATTTTTTATTTTATACAACCGTTGGAATATTGAATACTTGAGTGTCTGTCCTCAAATTGCAGTCCAAGCGCAGTCACTGCATCAACTGCGCAGTCAGCAGAGCTCGGCGTGCATGTGTGTGTGTGTGTGTGTGTGTGTGTGCATGTGTTTTCTATTATGTATGAATAAATCAAGCGAATGATTGTGTTATATATGCTTCACAGGGTATTTCCTAATCGATCATTCTTAACCAGAGCACGCTTACTTGTTTTTCCGACTTCTCTTTTTTTTATACATGTCCTTTGGCGACCACAGGCATGTGTGAGTGTGTGAGGGCAGTTTTTACATATGCTCGTCTAGTTGCCGCTACAAGTTATGCAGACTATGCACTGGGCTCCCGTTCGGCGGACAGACTGCGCATAGCTGGCATTGGCATTGGCGAACGTAGCTGACAAAGGGCGTTCGCGAAATACTTTTGTTAACCATATTTCATAGCATTTAAGTGTAAGGATTGCAATTACGACCGGCCCGCCCTCTCCCAGTGACCATTCGAGACCCATTCAAGACTCGGACGCAGTGTAAAAAGCTATCAATTATTTGAGCTGAGTTCGCTTTGCTATCATTACTCCCGGACGGAGGTCCCAGCGGCAGCCGCAGGAGTAGGAGCAGCAGCAGCCATTAATAAACGCACACATCAAACTTGGCACTGTCACATAAAATTCAATTTAGTGGCTTTTATGCCAACAGCAACAAGGAACTGGGCTAAGTCACAAGCGAAAAAAAAATAAGGAAACAAGAAAAGAAAAGGGCAGCAACCCTCAAAGGTTTTACGCAGCTAAGCTGAATGCACATTAGCATGAGCACGACCTCAGGTTGACGGTAGACGGTAGAGATCCGAGTGGTTGGCGTGGGGGTGTGGCACGCACTTACGTACTGGCTCCCAGCTCGGCTGGCAGTCCCTGGTTGCACTCGACCTGAAATCAAAATAAATGTCAACGCTGCTGTCACACAAAGCAAGCAACAGCCCCTGATGCCAGAGCAGCCCCCGCAGTTTTTGGGGTCTAAGTTTTTGACTTCCTTAATGACAGTGTGGCAACGATGATGATGACAACAATCACGACGGCCACGAAGACGGCGGCGAGACGATAGCAAAGGCCAACGTCATCAATGCCATCAGCATCAGAGGGCAGAGTGTCAAGGGCAGAGAGGGCAGAGGGGGCAGAGGAGACGGCAGCTTGATGATGCAATTTAAGAGCTTTTTGCCTTCCCCTGGCTGACTGGCTGGCGCCATTCTTCGGTTTTGATAATCTAACAAAATTGATAAGGTGTGAAATTCTTGATTTTATTTTCTGCGTTCTGCACAAGAAAATGTTTTTCCTTGCCAATTTTTTTTTTTTTTTTTTCACTTCCCCCTCTTAGTATTTATCTTCGTGCCCTTCCTTTTAGAGGCCTGCGCTGTCTTTGATGTTTTTGATGAGGTGTTTGTTTAGTTTTTGATGTAGCGCATAAGGCGACATTTTGGCTATAATTCAGCAAGGTTTCCCGCTCTCTTTCCCCCTTTCTCCCTGTCTCTATCACCTTTTTGTGCATTTACATTTTAAACGAAATTTAATCCAGTTTATGTTGCCCCAAAAAACAGCGCATTTCAGTTGCTTTGATATTTAAATAAACAAGCAAATTGACTTTGCAGCTTGGATTTTCTTGGATTTGCCGCAGCCTCAACTAAGTTACGGCGACTATTCTCCATTTTTGTGTAAGCCGAGTTTTTCTCCATTTTTTTTTTTCGTCCGTTTGGCTCTAGGGGCAGGCGATTTTCTTCTTTTAGCTTTTTTTGCTGCTGCTGTTGTGCGAAACGCACTCGTACATGCTAGCCAGGCGTAATTATCGGCACGTCAATTGCACAAAGCGGCACGAAAATTGTTTAAACGTTGGTCAGCCATAAATTGATTTGTATGGCAAACGAACGATCCGCAGTCATCATTCGGCTTGCCTCTATCCACCTCACTCTCTCTCTTTCTCACCCTTTCTCTGCTGCACAGCGCAAAAAAGTAACCCGAAAAGCATGGGCAAAAAAAAAAGAAAAGCGAAGCTGCTGCCGGCGATTGCTTTGAAATTGGCAGCAGAGCCACACACGGCCGCAACCGTGAGCAGCTGAGCTCCAATTGGAAACGTTTGGGCAGCTGTGCATCAGAAGCATGCATCATGGGCCCTGGTTCACTTTGTGCTGGGAATCAAGCAGCTTTACAGCTGCCCATCTGTTTGAAAGCCTAATTGAAGTGCATCAGCTAGATCTCAATTGAATTGCATTTTTCTAGCCTATCAAACGATCTGTTTGCCAAAAATGTTGAAGCTCTTATTAAGTGAATGAACTGATGTGGCGTGTGCATAGTATAAATGATTGCTAGTTGCTAGGATTAAGTTATTGTAGAATAATTGTTAGAATAGAATAATTAATGAATAATAAATAGTAATAAAATAATATATTATTGAAAATTAAATGCAATCAATTTAATTATGGAATTGCAAAGAATAAATGCAGATTAATAAACAAATAATAGCAAAAAAAAAAAAAAAAATAAAAAAAAAAAAAAATTAATAAAAATAAAAATGGAATATTAAAGAATATAAAAAATTTAGTATTAAAACTAAAATATAATATAATAAATTAAAATTGAATTGCAAAAAATTTATGCACATTATTAAATAAATATTAATATAATAATAAATTATGGCAAAATAAATTAAAAGTTGCATTGAAAAAGATTTATGAGATTAAGAAATAAAATAATGAATTATTAAATTATTAAAAATTAAAAATAAAAATAAAAACAGAATTGTAAAATTAATAATGAAATAAAACATTATTGATTGCAAGATAAGAATATGAAGTTGGCATCAACATGGAAAAAACATAAATTGTCTTAGCTAATGCAATGTCATTATTAATATTTACCTATAATATAAAATAAAATATAAATCACTCAATATAGAAAATATAACTCAAAGGCTAATCACAATAGTTTAGCCACCAATTCAAGGGCGACTTCAACTTGTTCATTTGCCTTCAACTGGAATCGATAGTTTGCTCCATTGAATTTAACATCAAGATATTCAATGCTAGCCCGAAATGGAATTGAATACTGTGCTCTGTGCTCGGGTTAATTTTCAATTTCCACATTTAGCCAAAACGTTGCTGCTCTCGAGCTGTTAGAGGATATTGAGTCGAGTGACACGAGAGCCTGCTGCTCGAATGACTAAATGATTGTTTAATTATTGGCAATGCGAACGGCAAATGAGCTCAAAGGACCAGCTAAATTAACGTGTGTGTGAGTATGTGTGGGTGTCTCTATGTATACATGTGTGTGTGTGTGTGTGTGTGTGCTAGCTATCAATCAGTGCAGCAATAGCGATAATGTGAATGCTTTCAGTGCCTAGGTACTCGGGGGTTATTGCTTAGTGACCACATACATACGCAGAGGGTGGAGAGAAAGAGAGAGAGAGAGAGTGTGTGTGAGTGTGTAAGAGCTAGTCCGATACATATGTTGCTGTGGCTGCTCAGTGTCAGTCGCAGATGATGAGCAGATCAAAGTGCTTCCTTTGACTCGCTTAAGTGCTCACAAAGGCTAATGTGGCAAAGGGTCAAGCAGAGAGCTTTGCAGTTCAACGCTGATTCAATATACAGTTAGCTTTCAATGGAAAATGCTTTTCGTGCAGCAAGTGTGATAATTAAATAAGCGCATTACGTATACGTAGCAACAGTTCGATTGAGATTGCTTTGTTGTTAGCAAACTCTATATATATATCGAAAAACATATTCAACTATTATTGAAAAAGTTGAAAAACAATAGCGCTTAAACATATTTGGCGACTTATTTTTGCGGACATATTAACAAAAGTGTGGTTATGGCAAACGAATTCATAAAGTTGTGAGATTAAATGAGATTAGACAACTTATTCTCATGAATAAATGCATGAGTGTGGTATGTGCGTGTGTGTGTGTGTGTGTTAATATGCATTCTGCACAATATGCACATTTGGAATTGTTATTATCGATGCAGTGGTGCATGACCGCGCTGGCAAAGAGGCCAACCACCACGCTGAGCCACGGCCCGCATGCCAGTTGACGGTGGTGCTGACTTGTTGATTTTATGCGTGCGTGTCTGCATGACATTTGCAACTGTTGATTTGGCAGCGCAGTGCAGGCCCAGTGCATATGGCATCGATTCAATTGAATTCAAGCGTAAATTATGCAATGCGCCGATAGACAAATTTCGATGCGTTCAGCATGAGTGTTTGTCACATGGTCTCTCTGTGCCACATTTAGTTGCATCAACGCATTTATGCCAGTCGCAGCAAGAACTCATCGAGCAGGACACAGGCCTAACAATTGATCTACATTGCGGATTGATTTATATGGGGTGATCGATTGATTTACGAGCTGACTGATTGAGTGGGGCACAGTGAAGGTTGCTCTAAGCCAAAATGGAGTCTGCCTAGGGAGTCCAGAGACCATTGCTTGTATTAGTTTTACCTCAAAATCTATCTGCAATACTTATATTGTATAACTCTTTGTTTCTACGCCTTATATTCATATTATATATTTTTATTAATTCCCCTTTTAAACCAAGCTGTCCAAAAGGCAGCAAAAACAAATATTTTATTAAAAAATTATATAAATAAAAATAAATAAAATTGCCTGCCAACTCAGCTATACATAATTCTTCTCGATTTTTTACCTTTAAAAGTTATTCAAACTACGGACTTATAATAAAATTGATTATTTTTCACATATTCAAGTTATTTTCATTGGCAATGCATTAAAAATGGTAAAGTAAAGCCGAAAAAATGCAAACATTTACAATTGAATTTGTTATATTAACTGCAATGAATTAAATAAATTAAAAATTGCGCCAACTCAGCAATTTGCACAAAAACAAACTCAACTATTTCGGGCTGAAATTCATAAATGAAAATAAATTCAAGCCAAATCGAGTTGGCGCTTACACAATTTACCGTAGCACAAAGTTGGTTGGGATAAAGCAGTTGTTGTTGCAGTTGTTGTTGTTGTTGTCGTATGCGCGATAATGTTGGCAGTTAACTTAATTTTGTCACATTTGACAACACGTTAAAACAACAACGAGTGCCAACAGAATGAAACGGAAATGAGCAGAGCTCGCTGAAAAGTAGAAGTTAGTGGCATGAACACGCGCTGCGCATCTGCAGAGGATAAACAATGCAAGCCGCAGACAAATGAGTGATGGCACATAAGAGAGTGCTCCGGCCGGGAGTTGCGACTGGGGAGAGAGAGACTTGCGGGCAGAGATCGCAACTGCGGCGACGACAGGTTAAAAACTCCAGCGCCGCAAAGTATGCAATACAAATTCAGTGCGCGACGCTGCGAAGGCTGCGGGCTCAGCTAGGCAACGGCGCTATGACGTTGTCGTCAGCTGCAGCAATGTAATTTGTGGCTGGCACAGTGCGTATTACACTCACACACACACACGCACGCACACATGGCCACAGCTAAGTGAGTGAGTGATTCGCCAGACAACGAGACTTGAAGGCAAAATGTTAAATGACGTTGCCAGCGACGTACGTGTGTGTGTGTGCGTGTGTGTGTGTGCGTGTGTGTGTTTGGCATAGTGTATTGCATTATACGCTGAGCTTAAATTGTAGCCAGACCCCGTCGGAGAATGGGAGTGGGAGCAGCTCTTGTCTCCACAATAGAGGCCACAATATTTGCTTAAAGCGCGATTTTCCTCTCGCTGTTGTTTTTTTCTTCTTCTTCTTCTTCTTCTTCTGTTTGGCATCGCTGTTGTTGTCTGGCCTTGTTTACATAGAAATATTCTATATGCGTGCATTTTATTTATGATTGCACAACGGACAACTCACTCATTGCACTCAGCACTCAGCGCTCAGCAGAGATACTCCACAGCCTGCACCACAGCACCACAGTCTCCACTGAGCCGCGGGTGGAACGCCAGCAATTCACAATTTGATGGCATCATCTGCTCGTAGCGGCAATATTTATGTGGCTGCAGCACAGACAGCATCACTTGCTGCACTTAAAAGCGATTAAATATAAATCAATATAAAAATTTGCATATTAAATGTATGTGTGTGTGTGTGCTGATGTGTGTGTGTGTGTGTGTGTGTGTGTGTGTGTGTGTGTGTGTGTGCGATTGTTTGCGCTCGTTTATTCAATGAAAGCCACTTCTTTATGAAGTAAATATGTGCATTCGAATGTTTATTACGTGTTAAAAGAAATGTTTATATTTATTATATTCCTATGTTACCACACAAGTACTTAAATACTTATACATATACATATATATACACATATGTATATGCATACCATATGCAAGTGTATCGGTAATTTGTGTGTGTGTGTGTGTCGAGCTCTTTGTTGCGTTTGTAGCTTAAATCTGACTGTAAGCTTGTTCTTAGAGACTGCTACGACAGAGGGAGATATAAAAAGAGAGATGGAGAGAGAGAGAGAGATGGGAAAAGTAAGAGAACAGCAAAGCTGCTGCAGTAAAAGCAAAGTGTATAAGAATTTTATTAAAAATAAAGCATAGAAGCGCATTTTCTATACAATTCTCTGCTTAAGACGTTCTTTCTTATCATCAATCAGATAATAGTAAAGCTCTTAGAGCTGCTAACATGTGTTGGTAGTAGTAGTAGTAGAAATGTGTATAGGTGTAGCAGTAATAGTATGTGTACTATTAGTTGTAGTCGTAGTAATGGTGATGAAAGTGGTGGAAATAGTATTTGGAAAAGTTGTAGTAGTAGTAAGTGTAAGGTAGTAGTAATAGTATTATTATTAGTAGTAGTAGTAAGAGTAAGAGTAGTAGTAGTAGTTGTAGTAAGAGTAGTAGTAGCTGTAGTAAGAGTAGTAGTAGTAGTAGAATGATTAAGAGTAATAGTAATAGTAGTAGTAGGAGTAATAGTAATAGTAGTAGTAGGAATAAAAGAAGTGGCTGTGGTAGTTGGAGTAATATTAATACTACGAGTACTATTAGTAGTAGGAGTAATATTAAAACTAGGAGAGTAACATTAATACTAAGTGTAGCATTAGTGGTAGGAGTAATAGTATTAATAATGGGAGTAGGAGAATGAGTTATAGTAATGGTAATAGTGATAGAAGTAGTTGTAGTAAATGTAGTTAGCATGCTCGAAATAGTATAAAATAAATCTCTCTGATAATCTCTGAGCTTCTTGGCTGTCAAACAGCCTCTTTATAGTTAGCTCATATTAAGCAACAAGTATATATCTAAGCATTTACTGCACATTAAGATTATATCAGGAATATGAAAATTTTAATTTAATATTATATTTCTATAGCATCTCCTCTACTCTCTCAATGGCACTCCTTTCACACTTTTACGATACTCGCTCAATAAACATTTTAAGCATCCAGTTAATCCCTCCAAGTCGCAGTTTCATGACTCTCATCTTACATTTTAGAGCTCTTGGCTAAGTTTTAATGGGGGCCCAGCGCCAGTGGCACTCTCAATGTCTTTTCGTGTCTCTAATGTTGCCATATAGGACTTTAATCGTTTGGAGCGTGAGGCTTTATTAGACGCAGCGCACATATGCAAATGCCATAAAACAGCAACATGTTTCGGCAATTGAAATATTGTGGGATTAGCCCTTCGCTCGTGACGATGCCGGGCTCAAGTTGCCTTTATGCTGGGTGCCCCGTTTTTCGGGCAGCGCACAGTTTTCCGTTGACACTGTCATCGAGCATGTCAAAACAAACAGCATTATATGCAAAATTCAACACACGCACACACACACACAGAGAGAGACACGCATACACTCTTACGCATAGGCAGGCATATTTTTAATGCGTTTATGCTAATCGCGTGGGTTTTAATGCGGCCAGCGTGTTAAATGTGCCAGCACTGGACGGAGTTAGAGAGAGGGGGGAAACGAGAGTGAGAGAGAGAGAGAGAGCGCCTGTCAACACATTTCGCTGATTGCCATGTGTCTCTGCAGGGCCAGGCTGTCTTCGACGTTGCTAGACAAACGAATTTGCATAAATTGCGTTTAAAGCCAACCAACATCATCTTTCGTCATATGGCAGGAGTCGGGCAGCAGTAGAGCAGGAGGAAGCAGCTGGGCCTCAAAACTAAGCGTCATTGTGCTCAGCCCTGGGTCTCGCTGACAACATGAGCTGAAGCTCGGGAGTTTGGGTCCATGGATTCATATGGCTGTGCCGGAGTTTTTGCAATTACAGTGCTTCAGGTAATTACGTGGTTGGGCCCCTGCGCCTGGCAGCTTCAAGTGGGCAATGTTGTAAAATTATGCATCGATGGCACTGAATGAGTCTGCTGAATTTGACATGAAGTTTAAATTACTTTGACACGCACACAGAGGCGCCGAGACACTGGGCATACGTACAACATGAACGCGGCGCATAATCAAGTGGCAACACTGCCACAGCAAGGGTCAACGGTCAACGGACAGCGGGCAGCGGGCAGCGGGAAGCGCTCAATGGGCGATACACAGTGCAAAATTTGCAATCACCAGCGACACAACACTTGAGGCGGACATCGGACAGGGTGGCCCGGGTGGCCGGGGTGGCACAGCTGAACGGTTCAGTGAGGCGGCTAAATTTTCAATTTTTGGCAAATTCATTTGCGACTTTTCCTTTTCAGTCAAAGCTGGGCCGCTGTGTGCCCGGCTAACCGAACATTAGGCACAAAATTCTCAATTCAATTGGCCCTGATAATGACAACTTCATGCATTATGCGTGAGCCCCTGTGCGCCATATTTTGAGCGACAGCCGCGTTGCATGCAACGGGTGCGGGGTGCGGGGTAGTCAAAAATTTGACAATCTCGTTTGCCGGCCGCAAATATGCGATTGCCTTGTTCTCGTGCAAATGAATGGCTAGAGCCCAGTCGAGGCCAGTCCAGGCCAGGCTAGGCCAGGCGAGGCTAGACTAGGCCAGCCCAGGCCATGTCCCAGTCGGGCTGACGAGTGCGCCATTTTGTGCACAGTTTTTTCTTCTTCATTTTCCAGCTTCCTTTTTTTTTGGGGGGGGAAATTGGACGTTCGTTTTGTGCGGCGTTGGTGGTGCGCCTCTTGTCGCTCTGCTGTGCAAATTTTCCAAAAATGTACCAAACATTTCGTTAAACATGAGCCACTGCTAGTATCTGTGCATGTGGCAGGCGGCAAGTGGCAAACGCCAGGCGGCATGAGGCATGGACCAGTGGAGGCGTGGAGGCATGAGGCATGTGGCATGTGTGCAATGCCCGATGCCTGCACACATGCCAGCTATACAGCCAGCCCATGCCGGCCCGGGCTTCGGCCTGCCAACCTGCCTCGCTGACTTATGCATTCATCCATCCAACTAGGCAGCCGCTAGCATGCCCGTGTGGTTCGCTTTTAATAAATTCATAAATATTTATATATGCAAAAATTTGGGTAAAATGCTGGCAGCCAACTGGCAAGCGACTTGCCCATCTACCAATCTATTCAATTTGGGGCCACATCCGAGCACCGAACACCGAACACCGAGGAGCATCGAGCACTCGAAGCACTGAGGCACCAAACACCGTTATGCCAGACGAGAAGCTGGCTCTGGTCATGTAAATGGGGATTTCGTGCGACTGGAACTGGAACTGGGATCGAATAGCTATGCCGGGTTACTTGTAGTGAGAAAACGGTGATAGATTGATGCGGCATGTCACAAAACCACAGCAGCAGCAGGAGAAGCAGCAGGAAAAGGAGAAGCAGGAGCAGCACAAGCAAGGCCGTGTCAGTGAGTCGAGGCAAGTGCAATTTTGCATATTTTGTCGCTGGGCAAGAGGCGCACTAGTGAATTATACAAGTAAAGTTCTCAACTGGAAGTGAAAGTAGTTGAGTGAAAATGCAAATAACTTCGAGCTGAACTAACCAAATTGAAGAGCATGTCCAATGTGAGACGAGTTGTGGAGTACAGAGTGTGGAGTGTGGAGCGGCGAGCGTTGCCTCAATCAACGCTAAATACAAATCAAATTCACATCAAGTCAACACACAAAAGCAACTTGAAGCCTTCAGCCAACCCCACGAGCCAAACAGGGCGCCCTTGTATCAAAATTCAGAATTTGCCAGTTCAAATTCACACTCGTAACACAACACACACACACACACACATGTACATACACACATGATGTTCGAAAGCTGGCTAGGAAATTCGCATTGAATTCTGCTCTGCCGACTGCAACTGTCACATCATGAGATGGAGGCTGAAGAGGCGGTAAATCACAACATGCGGTGCTCTCTCTCTCCCTCCCACTCTCTCTTTCTCTCTCTCTCTCTCTCGGTGTGTCTGCTGGAACACTCCTATTTTAATCTTGTTTTTGAATACTCGTTAACTTGGCTTTTGTTATTCTTATTTTCATGCTTATTTGCATACGAACGAGAGTGCCCGCACCGTGCCCGCACCGTGCCCGCACCCGCGCCCCTCAATCCGGTCGCCTTCCAATGTCAACATCACCACCCCGATAAAGTCGTCTGCGAAAATGATTTAAAATCAATTTATTCTTTTCTGTCCTTCTTATGTAAATCATTTGACGACGACTACGCAGACCACTGCCACATGCCACTGCCACATGCCGCATGCCACTGCCACGAGAGGAGCGGCAAAAGTTTAATCTAAATAAATCAACATGATGCGTATCTAAAAATAAGTGTATGAACGAACGAATGAGCGAATAAACGAATAAACGAATGAATGAATACTTCTGGATTTATTTACAAATTCGCAAACAAATTTTCACTTCACACAGCCAAAGGCAGCGGAGTGAGCTAGAAGTGACAAAGAAATCCGGAAAAAAATAGATCGGATAGAAAATGATAAATTCGCATCTCTGCCAGATTAAAATATAAATATTGTTAAGTGCAATTTGTTTATTCATCTCCCCTTCTTCTCGCCTAGACTCTGCTCCAGTTTTTATGGCCAGCTAATGCAAGTGAAAGCATTAAAAATGATTATTAGCAAACATTTCGCTGGAACAGCAGCCGCAATATGCAATTTTTATATGCCAAACAAAAAGCTAAATTTAATATGCATAACTGCATTGAATGGCTTTTGAATATTCATACGATTAAAAGCAAAAAAAATCGTGGGTTGTGTGCATTAGCAGAGAGATCTAAGCTCGCAGATATCCTACGTTGCTTAGAGAAGGGAAGAGAAAAATAAAATATATATAAAGAATGAATGTAACAAAGTACATTAAGATACGCAGACCGTTAATTAGTAATTTTTTAACTTATAAAAAAAAAAGAAAAAATAATAATAATAATAATACAAAATATATAAAAAAATTTTTTTAAATTTATTATTATGAATAAATTAATAAATTAAAAAAATAATGATTTTTTATTAATTTTAATAACTTTTAAACTTAAAAATTAAATATTAAGAAATAAATTTAATATAAAATAAGAAATAAAAATAAAAATAAAATATTTAATAAAAAATTATATCGCTCTATTCTTTCTACTCAATAAATTTAATATTAAATAATAAAAATAAAAATAAAATATTTAATACAAAATTACACTGCTCTATTTCTTCTACTTAATAAATTTAATATAAAATAAAAATAAAATATTTAATAAACATTTATATTGCCGTATGTTTTCTACTCAATGCAGAGAAACAACTCAATAAAAATACATGAAAATTACAAAAAAATGTCTATAATAATAATTTTGTATTATGCTTAATGGTTTTATTATTGTTAAAAATAATTGCTGATTGGCAATATTTTTTTTTATCATCAACTCTTATTGTCAGCTGATTTGCGCTTGTGTGTGTTTCTACAGGGTATAGAGACGTGGGAAAAAAAGTCGTCTAACAAAATGACAAGTCAACTGCATGGCAAATCGTCATGAAATTTACATGCAATTTGCGCAAATGAAAACAAATAAAAACATTCTCCGCGCGCATGTGTGTGTGTGTGTGTGAAAGTATGAAAAATATCAAATTGCATAAATAACTAATTAAATTTAAATTTGCAATTTGCAATTTGCAATTTGCAATTTGATGAGCGTAATTTATGAACGTGTGAAAATTGCAAATTGTTGTCGTTTACGCTTTGGGAATGCTTCGCTCTATTCCACTCAGATGTTGCACATTTCAAGTATAAATTGAATATAAAAGTGAATAATAATAATAAAAAATAAAATAATAAAAAATTATGATTTGAATGGGACATTTTGCTGAGACTTTAAGCCTGTCAACTTTTCAAGTCAGATTCTCGTTCTTTTCAATAAGTACTCGGGCAAAGTTCCTTTTAAGTCAAGTTTCTAAAACAAAACATTCTCCTTAAGACACTCACGAAAAACTTTTGCATGACATTAATTAAAAATTACACGCTTTCAAAGCTCCTGGGCTCTTTTTTTTTTCTGCCCTTCTCCGACTTTAACTTCTTCTTGTTCTTATTTTTCGTCTAGTTACAATGTCAAGCTAATTAAAAGTTTTGGTCAAAGAGAAAAAATCGTACCGAGTGCGGTATTTTCAAGTTATTAGTAAGTCGTTTGCTATATGGCTTAAGAGGCGAGCCAGCACTGCAAGAGGAAAGAAAGTTGGTTTTATTTTTGTTTTTTTTTGGGAAGTAAACCTAGGCAGAAATTGAAAATATTGTCAAGTGGCTTTAAGTACGCG